TGGTCCTAGGATGGTTGTCAACCTATCACTTTCTACTCCTCAAATCTTAATGAGGAATTTATTCATGTATTTATTTGGTATGTAAAATTCCCATGACTCCTTCTCAATAATGTCTGATCATATTTGCTGAAAGAAAAAGGAAAACACGTCCCAAGCTGCTCTCTGGCTTTCAGACCCTGCCAAGCAAAAGCAACCTCACTGCAGCATCTTGGACCCTCGGGTTCACTCCTGTCAGGTGCAGCTGCAGGAGGATATACCAACATGCTCTCCTCCTTATCCCTCCCCTTATTCAGCAGGAAGATATTTGTTAAAGGCCTTGTGAGGCTGGGATGTAAGAGGGAGATAAAATACATGAGCCAATAGGGTTGGTCGTAGGAGTTCTGGTCACCCAAACCAGTAAGTGGGTACCTCAATCCACATACAGGCCCCCAGGTCTTCCATGTTAGTCTGCTCGGGGTGCCGTAGCAGAGGTTCTCTGCTGAGTAGGAAGCTGGTCTGGATGACTTGGGTTTTCCAAAGGTGAAGTTCTGAGATTCTGGGCTCTATGAAGCCTCACTTGCTTCAGGGACAGTGTTTATGGATGGATCTTCCAGCCTGTTTCCAGTCATTTTCCCCAGTTTGAGGCCCCATCATTGTCCTGTACCCACAGGGTATTCAGGAATGGCAGCTGCCCTGATGCAGCTAGATCTGGGTTAAGAGGAAGGAGCTGGACTGGCATGGGACACTGTCCACTGGAGCAACAGCTGACCTACGAGTTCAGCCTGGAGTGCTCCTCCGTAGGTAGGTCCAGGGAGACAGGCTGTCGTGCCAGTTGGACTCTTTAGATATAAGAAACAAACTGACTGTAACTAAGAGAAACAGGACTTTATTGGAAAGATATGGAGGAGCTTAGAAGCCCAAAGAAAAGCTGAGGACCAACTTGATAATTACAGAACAGGGCAGTAACTACGGCGTAGTCTCTTTTCCACTGTCAAAATGAATCAACTCCAATCATCTTCAGGCTTTATGTCTCTCTGCAAAACATCAAATGCCCAGTAGAGAGTTGGATTGGCCAGCTTTGGTTACGTGCCTGCCCTTAGGCTGGGCAACTTTAATGGCAGTGCCTTATGGTAGAGGGTGGGAGTGGGAAGGGAGAGAGTGATTTTACCAGAAGAAGGTGCCAAGGACGATAGACTGGACAGACATCAGATGTCTATTACAGAAAGACTTCCCCTATGGCCTGTTCAGAGGGTTGGCCCTGAAGCCCACCTGGATTTTAGAGGTAGAGGCCAGGGGTGGGTTTAACAATTCAGTGCAAAGCTGATAGTGTACTAGACAGTACATTATCAGAAAATGTTTCATTGTAAAACTGGTGATATCCTCGTTGAGGAAACTTAGAAATCACAGAAAAGTCTAGAAAAGAGAATTTTTTTTTTCCTTTTTGTCTTTTCTCGTGTCCGGCAATGGATCGCAACCCTCAGTGTCACGCCCGTACCGGACCGGGACCGGCAACTGGATCGCAACCGTCAGTGTCGCACCCGCACCTCGCTCAGCCAGTGAGTGGGAACCGGTCTGTATGTGGGATATGAAGCCTTGGCGGGAGCGCCACCATGCTCCCAAGCGGCGCACTGTAGCAGTGCGCCACCAGGCCGGCCCGAAAAGAGAATTTTTAAAGCTGTCTATAATCCTACTACTCAGAGATAACCATAGTTACTTTTTCAGTGTGTTTCTCTCCTTCTACGAATTCTTTTCAACAGAGTTGAGGTCACACTGTGTGTATAATTTCATATTTTATGTTTAAGCATGGTCTATTGATCCAATAACTGCTAGAAGGGTATCATTGCAACATTGGCCTAGTGAATGGGTTTGACCTGTAGCTGTCCTACCTGGTGGAAGAGGCAGAGGGGACCCTCTGCAGCCCATAGGTCTGCCAACATTGGGGGCCAAGCAAGTGTTGCCCAGCTTGGGAAGTTGCCAAAGCCTCCATCCCAGAGGAGGTTCTATCTGGACACTAGCCAAAGGTGGATGGGAGTGTCCATGGACACAGTCCTGCATAAGAAAGGGCCCCCAGCACTATATTAGAGCCCATGGAAGCTCCTTACATTTATGCTTCAAGGACTGTGACTGCAGATCATTCTTATGGGGGTTAGCAGGTTCCAATGAATTTCAGCATTGTCTTTCTGACATGACAAGCTCACATTTCCATCGGATCTTTAAAGAAGACATTACCTTTATTTTGTCACTTGAAATTATGTCCATAATATATTTCATGATAAGAGTGAAATCACTAGGAAGATGGGATACTAGGAGAATTCTTGTTGAAATATAGCTATAACTATCTTCATATGTGCCATGTATATACAAATATGTGTATTTAAGCTCATGAACCTGTGTATTTAACAATCTGAGACTGAGAGCTTTCCTGTTTCAACCTTTGCTGACATTTGCTAAGGGATGGAATTCAAGGTCACATAAGAGTTCAGAAATATATCACTTGGGGCTGGAGAAATCTGTATAAATCTTGCAATTAACTCTCAGGAAAGAGTAGACCATGTTCCTATTGGGGGAGTTCACCCCTCAAAATTGGATGGAATCACATCAGCATCTGTCCATATAGGAGTCTTATTCAACTTTGCATTTTGACTTATTCCATGTGACTCAAGGGCCAGCTTCCCATTCTAATACCTCTAGGGACACTTGTTTTCTTTGCTAAGACACTTCATCTGCACGAAAAGGAGTCTCCTAGGTCAAGGCTGGAGAACATTGAGCCATTGGGAATGCCAGGCTTGGTCTAGTGACACCCAAGGAATTTTAGCTTAGAGGGCTCTTACCTCTCTGATTACTCCTTCTAGGATCCTTTCATGAGCTCCTTTACTTCCCCCATTTTTAGTTATTTTGTTTCGGGAGTCTGCCTCCACCCTCTTCTTCATCCTGAGTGGTCTTCCCTGCTCCCAGGGTTCCAACTACCTGTGGAACTGTGGCTCCCTAATTTATATCTCTAGCCCAGCTTTTATAACTTCTACCTCAAGTTCCAGACCCACCATCCACAGGCTACTCCACATTTCTACCTTAATGTTGTCACTAGTACCTCCTGTCCACCCGTCTCCTAAACTTACTCTTCTTCCTGTGTTCCTGGTCTCAGTGGCACCACGAGTCTGCCAAGCTAGAGACCTGGGAGTCATCCCTGATTTCTCTCTCACTTCATCCTCATTCTGTTCAATACATTCTGTTTAATTCACTCATCTGGTCATTCGGTGAATAAAATTGAAGCACCTACTAAGCGCCAGACATTGTGTTAGGTGTCTTATTGTGTGTAAGAATAGGCAAGGTTCCTGCCCTCATGGCTTACGGTCTAGTTGGAGAAATATTGTTATGGCAGAAATGGCACAGAATTATGAGTGTGTAGTCTGGGGGACAGGGAAGGCTTCCCCAAGGAAGGGACATATAGGAGCAGAGCTAAAGGGATTAACTAGATCAAGGGCATGGGGCAGCGAGTTCAATTTCCAAGCAGACAGAGCAGTGTGTGTGTAAGTCTTAGATGAGGTAGAAGGAGTGAGGGATGGCCTTTGAGGAAGTGAGTGGCCTTTAAGGAAGGACTTTGTGGCTGAGGCATAATGAATTACAGTAATAATGATGGGAGAGGACACTGGAGAAGTAAGCAGAGGCCCTGTCATTCAGTAAGGATTTTGGTCCTTCTTTTAAGAGGACAGGGAAGACGTTGAAGACTTTTAAGGCAGGCAGGGGAAAAGGGGAGGTTGAGGGATGACAGATTTATATATGACAATCACTCTGGCTACAGTGTAGAGAAAGGACTAGATGGGTCTGAGTGGATGTGGGGGGGACAATCCCATTGGCTTCCTCCCTGCCACCACATAGCCATGATCCCCAGTCCAGACTTCTGTTGTGTCCTGCCTTCCAGCAGAAGATACCTCTACTGTTGTCCCCTTGCAAGTCACCTTCAGTGTGATTATCTGACTCGTCTTTCAACTTCTGTCAATAGAAAAGAAAACTGACAACCCTTCATTAGGCTCAATATAAAGTTCAAACTCCTTAGTCTAGTCGACAAGTCTCTTCAAACCTGGCCCTTGCCTCCCTCTCCAGTGTCACTTCCAACCACTTGTCCTCAAGCACCCTATGCCATAGTCCATAAAAAGAGGATTTGAGAGCTGGACAGGAGTTGGAGGGGAAAGAACCAGAATAGTAGAAGTACCATGAGCCAGATCAGGCTGAGTCAGAGGTCCAGGATGCTGGCCCAACTGAGAGCACAGGACACTGGCCCACATGGGGATTTCAGGCAGTTGCCACAAGAGTATCAAGGACCAACACCTGGGAAGCACTCGGGGACAAGGCATCTGGTGGCTTGGATGTAAGACCAGAGGTGCAGTTGCTGGGAGGTAGTGACTGAGAACAGGACCCTGAGCACTGAGAGGTGGGAGTTTGAGGGCAGGACCCCCCTACCAGTGAAGGACTGAGGTTCCAGGATAGCCAGGACCCCAGCTAGTGAAGAATGGGCAGTACTCAAGAGACTTGGGACTCAGAAGATCAGGACAAAGGCTGACTTGAGGCTGACTTGGAAAGAGGAGAACTACAGGAAAGTTCTTTATATTCTACCTGCCTGGAGCTAGAATGAATCTTAGAGTCAAAGAAGCAAGGCTAAGCCTCAAGTCAGGACTAGAGCCAGAAGGGCATAGAGAAAGGAGCCAGGCAGCTCCTGCCATCACCCGCAGCAAGATCAACAAGCACACAGTCACAGCCGTGGCTAGTTGTCAGAGCACACACAGTCAAGGACATTAAAGGTTAGCCCCATGAACCCCACAGAGCTGTGATTGCTTGGCAGACCCATCCAACTTCAAGGGGAATCAAATCTCAACATTAGTATGGTTCTCAGAGTAGCTTTGTAACTCTAAGGAGGACCTCTGGAGACCATGACTGTGTACAGTTGACATGGTAACCAGAAGACTATGACATACTGAGAGTGTGGTGAGGTCATAGAACACAAGCTTTAAAGTAGGTGAATCATGTGTGCCTCATTTATTTTTAAAAGAAACTCCTGAGAAGAGCTTAGGACAATTTTTTCCCCCGAGTGCCGTTTCCCAAGGGTACTCACAGAACAATAAGGTGTGACTGTAATGGCTGCACTGAGTTGTCTTTTGGACAGTGTTAGAAGGGACATTAAGAAGGTGGACAGAGAACTAAGGCAATTGAGATGCATCGACGAGCTTAGCACACGATGCCTGTGCGACTTATACATGCACCCGTATTGCTGCTGTGACCTGCACCCGTATCCATACTGCCTGTGCTATTCCAAGCGATCGCGCTCTTGTGGCCTGTGTGATCTCTACTATCCATGCTGCCTGTGTGATTACAAGCTTTACTGTCTTCGACCTTCTCTCAGAAGTTTGGAGAGGAAAGCCATTAGAGCCATAGAGGATGAAAAGAGAGAGCTTGCCAAGTAAAATAACTTATTTTTAGATTTTTATGGTTGGTGTATTAGACTTAGTTGGAATAAGGAGGAAAATGTGACCATCGATACTTGAACAAAGATAAAAAGGGTTCAAGATAATGACTGTGGTGACTTACGAAAAATTTAAGAGTAAATGGGTCTGTGTCGAGAATTGTAAGATTCTCAAAAGACAATGTAATGATGTCGATTGGCAAGGTTGGTGGTGGTTTATAGCTAGAATGCCAACATGATAAATAATGTGGCTTTAATGAGGGGAAGAAACAGGGGGTGTCATTAAAAAGCCATTGGAAGCAGCAAACTAAACATTTTTCCTGGTTATGAGTAAAGTAATTTGAGTATATTTGGACTTACAGAAATGACTACAGGAGAAGTAATAACAATCGATCAAATCCTTAATGTTTGCCAGAGGCTTTAAGAGCAGGGGAGCAAATTGAACCAGAGAGGCATTTCCTCATTTTCTAGGAAAACCTTCCTCCCATCCCCCAACTCCAGACAGAGACTTAAAATTCATCTGTAGTTGGGTCTAGTATGTTGGCCTCCCCTTCCAACTCCAATAAATGTTGTGCAAATAAACTACAGAACTGAGTCACAGCTTTCAGAATAGACATGAAAGGGTTTTCATTGAACTGGGTAATTTTAAAAAGTCACTTCTCAAAAATTTGATTTTGGGTTACATTTTCTTTTTTGCCTAGAGAAAGGTCTCCTTTTCTAACTTTCTGTACATGCCATTTAGGTCTGTTGTTGTTGTTATTATTATCATTATTATTATTATTATTATTGTTATTTTTGGTGTCTGGCTGGTGCAGGGATCTGAATCCTTGACCTTGGTAGTCTGTTACTATTGATAAGCACTGTCCCCTCATTAAGTAAATCATGGTACACCCATATATTGGAATAATATGTAGATGTAAAAAGGATTGATGAAGCATTTTATATATTGATGTACTAAGTGAAAAATCAAGGTGCAGAAAAACTTTAATATGCTACTGTCTCTTAAAAGATGGGCATAGATACACCGATACATGATGAATGGGTTAGATAGATGGATGTATAGCGTCTCTTGACAACAGTGATAGTGATGTTTCATTGCAAAGGGCAATAGGACAATTATTGTCTCGGTCATCGGCCACCAGAGGTCAGGGATGGACCTCCTTCCTAGCCTGGGATGGAGAGCTATCACCTATGAATCCATCTGCACTCTTTGAACCAATGTTTATTTTTACTCCTTAGTATATCAAGTTACATAATTTGCTCACACTGTGAGGCAGGGACTCTTAATATTTGGTCCAAATCGAGGGTTCCTTGTGAGCAGGTCTGTGTGCACTCTCCCTGTGTCTTTGAATACTTGAATACCCTGGATCCAAGTTCTCTCAGCCCTGGTCTTCCGGCTGCTTCCCTGTGCCCAGGCTCTTCAGATGAAAATGCTGCCTCTCCCTTTGCCGTCTGGGCTCTTCACGCCTCCTTCGGGAGGCCCTATTTCTTGGTGTGCACTAGACACAACTTCAAACTTAATTCCTAGTGGTGTCATTTATACAAAAGTAATGCTTTCTCTGGTTTGTGATACTTTTCCTGACAGTGTCTGGGTCTTTGCCGGATTTTTTTTCTGTGCCTGAGGCAGTACCAGTATGTGAAGCTGGTGATGTCTTTACATTAATTTCCATATCTGTGAACTGATAACGCCAGGTCCATTTTAGAAATGACCTCAGGCTTGCTCTCTTTTATCTCTTCCCAGCCACTTTTCTTCCCATTTATACCACCCTGTGAAATTTCTATGGTGTTTCTTACAGTTTGACATTTCATTATCCAGAAGGGCTTAGTGTCACCTGCAAATTTAAATATCCAGTTTTCCTGAATATGGGTGAAAATGTTAAGCCCTGATCCCAGCCCTAAACCCAGAGGACTCCCACTGTTAATATTTGTTCTTCCAGTGAAATGTATCTTTTTTCTTCTCTCTAAGCTAGCTCCTGATCCTTGATAAATAGATCCAAAAATATCATGTTGATTCAATTTTTTTCAACAATCTTTGGTGTGAAACTTTGCCCAAGGCTTTTTGAGTTTAGAATTCATATTCACATGACCTTTCACCCCTTTAAGAATGCTAGGGGTTGGTTAGTTATGACACGTCCTTTCAGATGTCAGACTGTATTGTCCAGAAGGTTCTTTGCCCAACAGGAAAGACTCTTGGTAGTTGCCTCAGCCCCACTGAAATTATTTTTCTCTGTGAGGGTCAATCTGCTCTGTCTCAGGGTGCTCCATTAGTAACTGGTAAGAAGCCTGGGCCAACAATTTCTTAATTCCCCCCATAGTTTCTTGAGCATTTCTGAGTGTGTGTTACTTAATTGACATGTGTATGTGTGTGCCATTTTCTCACATTGGACATAAAAGGTCCAACCCATGTCTATTGTTTATTAAGCAGCTGCTTCATAATATACCTTGGCAGTGTCTTCCTTAGTAGAGACACAAGTAAACTCTTTGGTTTCTTTAGCTAATTTGATATTCCCTTTCCCTCCCCAATCTTTTGCACCCCAAGCACTAGCAGTGCCCCTGACTCTTCCTTCCTCTTCTGGATTTAGAGGGGTGGAGGTAGCTGAATTTGGTTTCCTTTGTGAGAAGCCCTGCCAGCAGCCTGACTTAAGTTTGCACCTGACTCCCCAGCACACTTCCTGGGCATCCCTGGCCTCTGTTCTACAGCTGGAGAAACAAAACTCGGCCCCTCTTCAGTCCTGCTCGTAGGAGTTTATTGCCTAATTGATGGTTGGCCTGCTGTGGCTCTGACACAGGGCACTAGTCCTTGTGGACAAATTAACCTGGATTTCCATCTGTAACCTGGACATGCATTGGGCTCAACCTCTGCACCCCTTGCTGGTACCTGGAAACTAATCCTGAGACTGTGTTGTCATCCACTCACCCGAGTACTTGGGGTTAGCCCCAATCTCAACAAGAAATTCCCTTGAAAATCCCCACACAAGGTGTGCCATCTTAAAACTTCAAAAGTCTGCCTTCTCATTTCTTGATTCTCCCTTCATCCTCCGAGTCTGCAGTTTTCACTGAATCCACTCTTACTTGGTGAGGCCAAGGACAGTCCGCCCTAACGGGGAGCTCTTTGCGGGTTCAGAGGTGCCTCACCCAGGTCTAAGCCCTTGGAGGAATCTTCCCATCCCCCCACAACACAGTTAAGCTGTGAAGGAAGCCACAGAGAGGGACCTTGGTGGCTTTCCCATTGACAGGAGAGCCTCCTCATTTCCCTCTGTGTCCTCTGCAGAGGTGGAAGTGAGTTGAGGTCCTCGGTCCCCTCTTATTTGTCTCTTCATTTCTGTAGTTCTCAGAGCCCAGTCACCCGTGGCTGCAGGAGCAGGAGTTGCTGCCCATCTAGGCCAAACATGTTTCTATTATTTGGTTTGACCTTATCGTTTAATCGTACAAGCCTTGGAGCTTGGTGACTTGAAGCCTAGATTTAGGGCAAGTCTGTGTATAGTGAAGCTTGGTACAGCCTGATAAAGACTTACCCTTCATTGAGTGAAATCCATGCGCCTAGCACTTCATGTTCATTTAATCTTTGTACCATCCCTGTCGGGCAATACCATCTTGGTCATCTTGTAGATGATGAAACAGAATTCAGGGACAATGTTCTTGATCACTAGGTGGTGGCAGAACCAAGACTTGAAGCCACATTTGCCTGAATCTGGAATCCATGTGCTTCACCACCTGGTCAGTGCAAATTCGGGAAAAAAAAAATGCAAATTTGCAGCGCCACCCCAGACCTACTGAATCTGAAACTCTAGGGGTGGGACCCAGCCACCTGTGTTTCAATGAGCCCCGCAGGGGTCAGCTGCATCTGTACTGTGCTATCCTGCTCCCTGCTGAGTGACATTGTCTTCAGCATCAATCTGAAAGTCCAGAGAAGAGAGAAAAGGCAGGAAAAGAAAGGAAAGGGAGAAGAAAGGAGAAGAGAATGGGAAGGATGAGTTGGGAAGGAGGAACTGAGTTTAAATGTGTCTTCGGAATGGTTCTAAATTCAGGAGAAAAAGCAAAGTATGCAAGCGAAGCCTAGAGGAAGGCCGGCCTCCCTGTGCTCCTGGGTAGAGACAGGCATTTTTGACATCTCCATTACTTTATTCATCACCAGGCTGAATCTGATTCACATCTTTGTGAAGATAGCTGAATATATAGCTCATCATTTCTGTGGGCAGTATGTCTCCCATTCAGGGGCTTGCTTGTACATACAGGTGAAATTCACCTTCAATAGCAAGAAGAGGTGGTGGCACAGAGTGGCAGATGCTGGCATTGGCTGTCTGCTAGCTTTCCCAGCTTTCCTAAAAGGCTTTTGCAAAGAACCAAAGGGGCTGATATCCCTGTGTTTACTGTGGCTGAGCTTCACCCCCATGATAACAAGCACGGGAGGCAGTCTCTCTTTGTCCAGAACCCCACAGAGCCATGGAAAATCCCATGTGGGTTGGTGGGTTCGTCACCAGACAAGAGTCAAGTTGCAAGTTCAGAACTGAGTCTCATGAGTAAAATGTGGCTCCTGCAATTTCCCCTAAACCCACACATCCTCCCTGATAACCAATGACCTAGAAGCAAGAGGAAGAAACCTGGCCTGGCCAAGACGTTTTAGACAATTTCCTGAAGACCCACATTTGTAAGGCCACCACTCAGCTGTTTTAGAGCCAAAGGAGCCAAAGAGACAGGAATAGAGGAAAAGGGGGGAACCCAAGCTATAAAATACCTGAAATACCTTGAGACTCAGGATGCTAAGAGGAGATGGGTCTGAGAGCTGACTTTGGCTTGTAGATCTGGCTCCCAGATCCATCTCCTGCAGAGAGCAGAAGAGCTTTGTCTGGCAGAATCAGCCGTGGCATGGGCTGGCCATTTAGCTTAGCTGATTAGAGCATGGCCTTCTAACACTAAGGTCAAGGGTTTGGATCCCCATACAGGCCAGCCATCGAGAGGGAAAAAAAGAGACAGAGAGGAAAAAAAGAAAGAAAAAGAAAAAGAAACAGAGGGAAAAAAAAAAAAAAAAAAAAACCCGTGGCAGTAGCCGGGGCCCCTAGCAATGCTTCTTGCAGTCCTTGGTCCTCCTCTGTGAGGCCCAGCCCCATTTTCATGGCAGGATTTCATGTTTCTCATCTCATATGGGAAGGTCTGAACTAAACAGAAGTCCGACTCTCAACCCACACACACCATGGGAGATTCTTGGGAGATTCTTGAGAGATCCAGAGTTGCCCACTCTGATCTGCACTTCACTGTGGCTTCAAGCCTATGATCCATCCAGAGAGGGCACCGTGTCTAAAGTTTGGGCTGGTTCCCTGTGTCTTTGTGAGCTATTCTCTGCCCATCTGGGGTAGAAACGGAGCAGAAACACCATTTCAGTCCTTGGACACATTGCACGGGTTGTTTCCCTTTGCCTTGGTGTCTTGTAGGACTGAGTTCTATTTGATTATTTTGTAATTAGCCGCAAAAAGTCTTGGTTTGTAACTTTCAGTACAAGAGTAGTGGACACTCACACTGTTAAACCAATCATGTTAGGGCTTATCAAGCGAAAAATACAGATTAAAAGCAATATGTATAGCACGATTTCACAAGAACACACACAAAACTTTCTACACATATGTAGAAATACACATACACACACATATGTGGAAGAAAGCCTAACACCAAAGTTAATTAAGTATATTATGAGATTATGGGTATTTTTTTTTCCTTTTTGTCTTTTTTACTGACCGGTAACGGGATCGCAACGCTCGGTGTTGCGCCCACACCGCGCTCAGCCAGTGAGCGGGAACCGGTCTCCACATGGGATCTGACCCCTCGGCGGGAGCCGCCGCACTCCCAAGCAGTGCACTCTCCAGTGCGCCACCGGGCTGGCCGAGATTATGGGTATTTTTAAAATATTTCTTCTTTTTGCTTATCTGTATTTTCTGAGTCTTCTACAATGAACTTTTATAACTAACATAACAAAAAGAAGTAAATGTATAAACAAAATTCAGCATAAAAAGGTGATACACCATACAAGCCAAACCCCCCAAAAAGTGATACAGTGATAATTAGATCTGTATTACACAGTTATTGTGAAGATTAAATGAAATAATGCCTTAAACATGCTTAGCAATTTCCATGGAACATTGTAAAAAAAAAAAAGACAAAAGCCTAATATCTTAACCATGTGTGAAGTGCTGTTATTAATACTTTTCATGCATTAACTAATTCAGGTCCCACAACAACACAGTGCGATAGGCTAACATTGTCCCAGTTTTATAGACGAGGCATAGTTAGAACCTAGATACTCCAGTTCCAAAGTCTGATCTAAAGCACTTTGCTTTACTATCACTTGATGTATCATAATTGATCAAGCAGTATGAGCTGCTGTTATTATTTTTTTATTACTAAGGATGCATACAGTAGGACTGCAGAGTAGCAACAAGGCAGCTCTATAAGAACCATGGCAGCGGTATTTAACAACCAGCTCTGCGGAGGGCATGGGAAAAGCCCTGATTTGTAGCATTTTCCAATTTCCATGCTGCAAATCACCATGATTGATTTCAAGCTATCAATGTGAAGTCACTGGATGAGGAGTTGGGAAGAGATGTACCCAGTCAGCTCTGGCCAGTGGGGGTGATGCTGAGCCAGCACCCCACGGCTGGCCATTACAGCCCCACCAAGCTGACCAGGTCGCTGCTGGTGCCGGCCATCCTCCAGAATCTGGAGCAGCTTCAAGGCAGCAGGTAGGGCCGGGCCCCAGTGGGCAGGGCCAGACCAGTGCTCCCCTGCCATGTCTTCTATTGATGGAGCTTTCAGGCTGAGTTTCTGTGTGATTGCCCAGTGGTGGCACCAGTCCTGTGAATTAGCGGAGCTGGGTTCTAAAGCTGCCAGCTATCTTTAAAATACAGATTTTAAATGGTATCTTATTAGTTATGTCCCATTTATTAAAGAAAGAAAAAATTCTTTCTATATATAACATGAGGGTACTTCAAAAAGCTCATTGAAAAACAGAATTAAAAGATAATACAAATCTTTCCATGAACTTTCTGAAGTACCCTCATATAAATGCAGTAATGATAATGATAATGGTAATAAGTAAGCAGGATTTATAATGTGCCAAGCACCATGTTAAGTAAAATATCGTAATCTCATCTAATCCTCTAATAGCCTTGTGATGTAGGTGCTACTACTATCCCCATTTTACAGATGAGGAAACTGAGGCACAGAGAGGTTAAGGAACCTGCCCAAGAGAAAGATCTGGAAGGCCAATCACCCCTCCTCTGTTGTTAACAGAGGTTTACCTGTAGGGCAGTGTAATTGACATGGGGAGACTCTCACTTTTTACTTTATACATTTCTGTAAAGTTTGACTTTTTGCAGTGACTAGTGTTAACGTTTGCTATTTAAAAAAATAGAGATTAAAATATTGCTTCTTAAGCTGTGTCTGGGTTCTGAGTTCTAAGTTTCTTCCTCCCACCTTTTCCTTTTTCCCATATCCAGACTGAGAAGAACAACCAATAGAATTCTGGCCTCCTCTTGCTGTAGCAGTAACATTTTAGGATCGGTGAACGTGTGTGGCTTTGAACCTGATCAAGTCAAAGTTCGGGTGAAGGATGGAAAGGTGTGTGTGTCAGCTGAGCGTGAGAACAGGTACGACTGTCTTGGATCGAAAAAGTACAGCTACATGAACATCTGCAAAGAGTTCAGCTTGCCACCCTGCGTGGATGAGAAAGATGTGACATATTCCTACGGGCTCGGCAGTTGTGTCAAGATAGAGTCTCCGTGCTACCCTTGCACTTCTCCCTGCAACCCCTGCAACCCATGCAACCCATGCAACCCCTGCAACCCTTGCAACCCTTGCAGCCCTTTGTGTGACCCTTGCAACCCATGCTATCCCTGCGGAAGCCGATTTTCCTGTAGGAAGATGATTTTGTAAAGTGTAGGTAGAAACCCATGACTTAGTAGAAGTCAAGTACTCCAGCCAGGCAGCTCTTCCAGTGTTTCTCTTCCCCTTCCTATGGTCCGTGTTATTCAAGTACATAGGAAACTGAATACATAACTGCAATCTGCTGATGTTGTGTCAAAGTCCTTTGGTTCAACCTATTACAGGAGCCCTGCAGAGTTAGTGGGCATTGGAAGAATTCCTGGATGGGAATGGAAGATGAAATGGTGAGATCCTCCCTCCCTGGGTCCTCCTCCATACCCAACTACCTCCAAATTCCAGGAGAAGACACTGCTTTTCCAAATGATCCTGTAAAATGACCTACGCCAGAAATCAAACCATCAAATCAGAAGCATAGAGTAGTTAGGTTGGAAGACAAGCACTTTTTCAAAGCTACTGCAGTAGGAGTACTGAAAGACAGTAACTCCCCAAGCACAATGGTGCTGGGGTTTTTACTGGGACAATGATCAGAGTACAAAAGTGCAGGGCAGGGGGAGGGGGACAGCCGGAGCCTGTTCACTGCTTGAGGGTGGGGTGGCCATAAGGCTTCTTGTTTTCCAACATTCCTGTGATTGTTGGAATTGGCCAACTCTGGTTCATGGTGATTTGCAACCTCCTTGGGATTTATTGCAACTATCTCCTTTCCCCAGTTCCTGAAACTGCTTGTAGGCACAGAAGTTCAGTTCAAAGTTCAGGAATGGAAAAGGACAGCTTTTGCAAAATGGTAGTGTAGTTTTCCTGAACTTGGACCCTCATGGACATAGCCCATGAACTATTCTTGATTGCTAGCACAGAAATTAGTGTAAAGAAAGAATGAGATGCTGGGGAGGGATCAGAATGAGGCTGGTTTCAAACCTGACTCTTAGAGAGAACATGAAACCCTGAAGTTTGCACAGTAAGTCTTTTCCTTGATCTCAGTTGCATGTGAGTTAAAGCGGTGGTTCACAGCCTTGGCTGGACATTGGAATCACTTGGTCAGCTTTAAAAACATGGATGCTAAACAAAACATAAAAACAAAAACAAAAAAGCTAAAAAAAATTAAAAAGACAAAAAAGTGTTTTTCAAAATGAAAAAATACAGATGCCTGGGTCCCATCTCCAGAGATTCTAATGTAATAAACTTGAAGGGGCACCTGGTTGTCAAGATTTTTAAAAGCTTCCCCAGGGGGCTTCAAGTATGCGGCTAAGGGTGAGAAACTCTGGATGGGCTCTTAAAGCTCTCCCAGCCTTTTCTTTAAAAGTTTACTTCAAGGTTGAAGAATACTCATGGTGATAGCAGACGTATTTTGCTTCCAAGTGAGGGAAGTAATGGCCCTCTAATACAGGTTGTGAATAAAAAACATTGAACATTTCACAAATTTATTACCTAGCAACTAGGTATAAATGATTATGTTTGTGTGTACTAAATTGTAGAGTTACCCTTATAAATTCCTTGCCATGTTTTGATTACTGTTCACAAATATTCTAGTTTCTCATTTACAAAATTTTTTGAGAATGATTTTGAAAAAATTTCACCCTATAGAGTCAATGGAAACCCCATTGGGGTCTTAACCCCTTGAACAAGTGGTAACCTCTGTCATCTGGAGAGCGCCATTCCAGGGCACTTTTAGGAAGTTAATTATTTTATTCACCCACCCACTTACCCACCCTCCGATTTGTTAATCCAGCAATTCATCCATTCACCCATCAACCTGCCAACCAGATTTTTTCATTTTAAATGCTAGAGATACGTTGTCTGCAAACAGGGATATGGAGAGAAAAAGACCCTTTTCACAAATGCCTCAAATTAAATTCAAGGAGTGGTGCTCTGGAGGAATTGGTGTGGAAGAATTCCAAAGAAACTAAATTTGCAAAGGCTAGGAGAGGCCAGACTAGCATTAGGCATTTCCATGGTGTTAATGGTTGACATCACTGCCTTGCAGGAGCAGCAGGGAAGCCAGAGCCTGGCCTGCGGGGTGCTGGTTGCATGCACTGTCTGCTCATTCTCACAGGGAAAGACTCTCTAGACAGACAAGTGTTTATCTACTGGGTACCTGCTCTGAGAGATGCACAGTGCCATGTGCTGTTGTCAATTCATACCTTTCCAGGAGCTTCTGTAGGTGAAGGCAAGACTAAAACCTGTGACATAAAATTGTCAAAACTCTTAGTGTGTTATCAGGAACTAAACTGCCCGGCATGGACAGTAAGTACCCTCCAGCATCAGAGAAGGGCGTGTAGGAGGTGAAGGGGCCAGAGGAGGAAGCAGGCCTGGGTGTGGCCGAGGCCTTGGGGAAAGGCACAACAGGGCTCATTCCATGACTAACTGGATATGAGGAAGAAGCAACATATGCTGTTTTCAACATTGTCTTTGGCTGGTCAATTGACCCTTGTGCTTGGATGGTTCTGCCGTGGCCTTTAATGCAGTTTTGCAGATCAGAGTCCAACTGTAAACACCTGCTCCATCTACCTGGGTGGGAGATGGAATGGTGGTGACTCTTGAAGGGGCAGAGGCAAGAAATCAGACCAGATGGAACTGAAAGACGAGGGAGGCTCTGAGCTACTCGTTGTCCAGCACATGTGTAATGAACGAACACATAAACTAGGTAAATATGCCACCTACTAATAAACACGCTCAGTAAATATTGTAGAAGTAAGACTGGAGATGAAGATAATTACACTTCTTAGGGTTCGTGGAGTACATTCTAGACCCGAAGGATTATTTGACAGTATCAGGAATAAAAAGCTTCTCAGGTATAGGGTTGAGGTGAATCTGTACTCAATGGCATAGTGTATTGTTTGACTTCTTTCAAAACTCACGTAGTGGATTATTTTATAAAAAGATATTACAGATCCTCAATGGACTGTTCTTCAGTCATTGTAAAATAGTTTTATTTAGTGAATCATTCATGTCCCTAGAACTAGAGTAAGTAAAAGTTTAAAAATTATCTCAACTTCTCTTCCTCACATAAAAATTCTTCTCTGTCTCTGTCTCTCTTTTTCTGTCTCTCTCTCTGTTTCTTTCTCTCCCATACAAGCTCCTCTGAGTGTAACAGACTGGGGAAGCTTGGGAAACTCTGATTTAGCCCTTTAGCTGAGGACATTACGCTGAAAGTTAAGGCAAAATTGATCCTGAAACCAGAAGACTTACTGTTTGTAAGAAAAGTAAGGGAGAAGGGTATTGCTGAGTGGCCCAGATGAATTCCAGTGAAGTTTGAAGGGTTTTTGGAATTTATCATTGCACAGTTCTCACCAGAGGCCTGGGTGATGAGTCACATGATTTGTAATCATAGGTGCATGATGGACTCAGAAATTACCCTTGGGGAGCAACTGCTTTTGATGCTAACACTGAAGTACTTCCTTCTAGTTCAGAGTTGTACAGTAAGTATTAGTTTCTATCCCTAAAGATAGAAAACAAAATGAAAAGATAGAAAACAAAATGAAAATACATTCATTATTTAGGCCTCTGGATCCTGATGTATAAAACTTGACAATCAGAATTGAATACCTCTCTTCCTAAGTACACCAAGCCCTGGTACCAGTGTTAGTCACACAAAGGTTAGCACACCTGGCCGATATATCACCACACCTTGAAGGCTCATAAACCTGGCTTTTTACAGATGACAAAGCCCATGATTTCAGGGCCTTGAGTGTGCTTCATAGAATGTGTCTGTCCAGGATGTGTTCTGGAGCCAGGATGCCAGACAAGGTGTTTGAAATCCAGCCGTCACTGTTCCTGAAGCAACTGGTCCACCACTTAGAATCTCTTCCAGTAGGTCGTCTTTCTCTTTGCACAGTAGAGAGCACCCCCAAGGGGATGGGGTGACCCTGTGTGGTTGAATAACTTCTGCTCTTAGTGGAATGGGGGACCACCAACATCAGAATATTCAGAATTTCCAGTCCAGAAGGTTCTGGGGGAAGATACCCCTTCTCTTCAACTCAAACTTCAGTGATAACTGCATTTTCATACACCAAACTAAGGAAAATGGTCTAAAAAGAGTTTTACTCTGGTTTGTGAGTTTTGGGTGGGGTGGGAGGGGGCATAAGCCATTTTATGTCTGTGAATTCTGGAGATCAGAAATTCAGACCAGACACGATGGCATGGTTTGTCTCTGCTCCACTTGAGAAGACCCAAACAGCTGGAATCTTCTGCAGGTTTCTTCGTTCACTATCTGGCATGTGGGCTAGGCTGGGCTGACACTGTCATCTGGTTTGTGATTTTAGATGAAAAAGTCTTATAGGCTGAAGAAAACATGCTTTATTATACACATAAAGAATTGCTTTTATTAAAAACAATCCGCTAACATAAAAAGAATCAAATGTTCAGCATTAAAAATGTTTCCGGGCCGGCCCGTGGCTCACTCGGGAGAGTGCGGTGCTGATAAAAATGTTTCTACTCAGAACATTTGGAAGTAATACAGCTTTAGAAAGAATCTGGTCACCACGTCTGTAGAAACAGCTACAGTCAGACACACCTAAACAAGCTTTGCTCACTTTTCTTTTTCCAATTATGTTTGTAGTTATTAAAACCACTTTAATTAAAATGGATCACTGCTTAGTGCTGGTTCTATAAGTATAATGAGTATGCATCCCAGATTGCCTGGGACAGCCTAGATTTCAAATGACCATGTCTCGGCTTGGGAACAGGAGAATGCAGTTCCTTCATGTTTCCTGTGGGTGGTCAGGGTGTACGGATCGAGGTGTTAAGAAGCTAGTACAGATCTTTCAGATCACACCTGAGACAGCAACAGAAGAAAGGAGACAAGGACAAAAGAGGCATCCGAAACAAGCTGGGGCCCCTTGGAGAACCAAGGGAAGGCGGTAGGAAAGCACAGGCCAGGATTTGAGCCAAGCAACTTGGCAATAGATTAGCCAACTATCTCAGAAGAAGTTGGTTTTCCTGAGCAACAGCTTAGTCACTTCCGATATCATCAGTGTCAAACACTTCTTAGCCTCCAGGGCCCAGCCATGGACTTTTGAGGTGTTCTACCTCCTCGGGAGAGGGTGGGTTCTAGAAGCATGGGTCATAGGGTTTACCTGTGGGAGAAACCTTCATCCTTGTTCATGTGAACCCACCTGGGGGCCTGCTCAGCCTGCAAGAAGCCAGCCAGGGTGCAGAAATGGCCAAGACCAAAATCTTTGCCTTTGAGTT